CTAGCCGACATACGATCAAAGTCAATACATTCAGGTTTTGAGACGAGCGGTTAAAGTTTAGACTAATGAATGACATTTAATGGTTTACAATTCTAATTTCAATTTCATACATTATAATTAATCATCATCTTAATTGAGAATATTCTGTGAATACAATCTAATATATATTCATTGGTTTCAATAATTGATATCATTATTCTAAAGTTGTCAGCAAACGAAGAGAATCTATCAACATTTATAAATTCTTATGACAACATTTATTTCTATTTATTGAAATACGACGAGACTATAATTTATGAACGAACCAATCAGATATAAAATAACAGATCTTGAGTTTTGGCGCGAAATTCATTCAACAATTTGGCTTAATAGCGTCTTAGCAATTTAACTCATATCGGTATGTGATGAAAACCCTAAATCGAATTGCTAACCCTAACCATAAACTGTAAACGTTAATCCCAATTCTTTATACTGGTTTGTAACCCTTATTTAGTTGTGGCATGTAGGTGGACACTTTCAAGGTCGTTTTAGCGTCGTTCAAAGATCGTCCTAATTATTTATTTATTTATTGAAACACATAAACATTGGTAAAAGGAGGCACCAAATAGATATGGGCCACATAAATTATTCGATTTATGTGAGGGCTGGAATACTTCCCTGATACCCAAACCAAAGCAGGTGATTTTCTTAAGGGGCCACACCCAGAACCTTTGACCTTAAGGTCTGATCCATAAGGCAGTGGAGCAACGTCAGGAAAGGCAGTCCGATGGAAGCCGGTGATCAACAATTGGTTCATACGCCATTTGTTCCTTCACGATCTTGGAGCCAATGTGCACCATTGGTTTGGAATCAGGATTTTCCAACTCCTCTATGTGGACTCTCCGTGTCCATCAACCGGGCTAACGGGCCGAACATTCGCTTTCCGTCCTCTCAATTTCGTAAACAACACTCCCTCCATGAGAAGTCAGTGAATAGAACTTCTCTGTCAGTGGTTTTATGAACATGGTCATGTTAGAGCATTTCAAGTAGGAGAGCTGACTCTCCTCATTCTCAACCGTACCAACCCGTTTGGGAGCATCTTCATTGAGAATATTCTGTGAATACAATAGTCATCTGTAAATTATAGTCTCACCATTAACAGAAAAAACAAACAATCAAACAACATTCTTCGTTATGATTTTTCTCTCTATTATAACAATTCACATAAACATTTACCTTGGATATTATTTACTAAGCAAAATAAATTTTACATAATCATGATCTAAATACAGTAAATGTTTTCTTTTCGCTACAATCTAATCTCTAGAATTATACAACAGTGTATAATGTTATCATAATAACTTACAATCTTCATATGACAATTTGTTACTAAGCATAAAATAGGTCAGACAGAGAAGAAAAATATTGTTTCCAAGTGCTTTTATGTCACAGAAAAAAACTGAAATTCTTTAGTGTTTTTTCTTTTTCAAAAAAAAGGTGTATTAACATTTTATGTTTGTAGTCTGTGAGAGTTAAATAATTATAAAAAAACTAGAGGGTGTTGAGTCGGCTTTCCGAGAACTGCAACGGAGCCTCCAGAGACCCTAAAGGAGCCGAATAGTCATAGCCAATCAGAGAATGAGGGAGCTTTCTAGAATGTCAACGTGGCTTGCTACTATTGGTCAGTAGCGTAATATGTCTTTTAGCGGATTGGCCAAAATATGATGTTGATTTAACAAGTGTTAACATCTATAAATACCCATGTTTTCTGTACAAAAATGAACCTTTGGAGTAAAGTGTTTTCGCTCACTTTGTGCTTTTTCTCTCGAGTTAAGTTCGCTGCGTAGTTCTAGCTTGCGGGTTGCCAGAACAGCCTTGTAGCTTAGGTGGATAATTTTGATAAAGTTTTGTTCTTTGAGCTGGATGGTTTGGTCGTGGAGAGATAATCATTCTTCTGAATAACATCATCAGCACAAATTTCATGTAGAAGTGAAGTGTTCAAATTTCGTCACTTGTGTTTCTTGTTGACCTTAAACCTGTCATTGTTTACTTCTTTGTTTTGGTTGTCATCTCATATGAAGTTGTTGACTTGAATCAGTTTATAAGTGAAATGAAATTGTGAGATAAATAATGATCAGAATAAATAGGGTCAACATGGCGTGAGAGAGTGGGTTGGAGAGTGCTGGTCAGCGGCCTATGCTCCATTAGGAGTAACAGGCGTAAGTAAGTAGGTAAGTAAGTGGGGTGAGAGAGAGAGGATAATATAATTACAATTCAGAAATTACGTAATATGTAGAATAATATGAATTAAAGAATAATAAATAAAACTTTCGTCTAAATTCCATCGAATCGTTTCACAGTATCTAGGCGCCGAGTTGATATGAGATATTAAAGATGAAGAATGTTGTATTTGTAAAATCTCAGTGAATGAATTCGAAGTAAATCCAACGTTTTGCCTAACAATGTGGTCCACGCTTTTCCTTGAAAAAGCTGCGATTTTACAAATACATTCTTCCTTTATAATATGAATTAGGTCAGATATAGTAGATAGGGATGAAAGATGAATAAACTTCTCATAAAGGTTAGCAAGTGTAATGATAATAATAACAATAATAATCGTAAGTTAGGGACATAAAAATGAACATTAATCAAACCATATTATAAAATTGATTATTAACTAGTTGACCCCGAAGTTGGTCAGGATAAAAGGATCGGCTTTGAACCAGGTTGCCAGGTTATACTTTGGATTTACTTCTAATTCATTCACTGAGATTTTACAAATACAACATTCACTTATAAACTGATTCAAGTCAACAACTTCATGTAATTCAACCCCAACAATAATCCTCGATTCACATATTACAATTTTAAATTATGTACTCTACCTTAAATCTGGCCAATTCTATGGATTATTAACTTGGATATAAGTGTAGGACCTGATGAGAAATTATTGGAATGGAATTTAGCCAGTAGTGAAATCGAGAACACGTGTTTCGACTGTGATTGAATTTCAGTCAAAATATCAACAATGAGATAATACAAACCATTACAAATTTAATTAAAAATTAAACTTGTTGCACAAGTGACTAGCTATCAGGACTCAGCAGCTAAGTAGGTAGCGCGATAGTGTTCGAGGCGAACGGTACTGAATGGAAGTCGAGGAGTGAACATCAACTCTCGAATAAAGTTACTTCCAGCTGACGAGCTCTATGTAAAACGAAACGCACGTACTTAATTCCACTGCTATCCATATCCCATATATCCTATACTCCCCAGTGTTGTGAAGTGCGGTGTCCGAAATCTGATACTGACACATGGTATGCTACGCGCTACCCCCCCCCAATTGACTACCTGAGAGAGAACACAAGAGTGGGCGAGAAAGTATATTGGACTACCGATATATATATCTATATCGGTTACCCTTAGGAAATTTACTGATTTTCACTCCAATTAAGTGCACTTGACCTTTATGTCACTTCTACTTACCATTGATTGACCTTTTTCTACTTCTGATTGGTTCTCCATATCAACTAGTAGTTAAAATCTCTAGTCAAAAGTTGTCAAAGCAACAACACTGAGATTAATTCAGTTATTATTGATAGTTTTTTTGTGATAAAAGACTGTTCACAGTCAAGGAGTAGTCACGTAGATTGTGAAGGTAAAGTACAAACTAGTTAGTATCTTTTTGCAATAGATCATAAATTAGGCATTGTTGTTTACATCAATAACAAGGCGTTAGTTAAATCTCAGTCAAAAATTACTTTTCAGTGAAAATTCGAAATATTGAAGTGATATGCCTTTAGTTTTTCTGTCTTTCAAATACATTCATCACTTTCATATACAAAATCAGCATACCAATTTATATTATCGTGGTCTGGATAATGAACGCTGAAGCGTTTACTCTGAAATATAGTTTATTTGAGACCATCTACCGGTAAAATTTTGTAAACGACAATGGAAGTCCATTACATTCTCTATTCTGTAACATTTAATGGATTTTGGGCATTCAACTTGTACTTTGTTTTTTTAATAGTTAAATCCATGAGCTAGACCACCACAGAAAACCTGGAAGCATTGGACGGCTGTTTCGTCCCAGTATGAGGCTCCTTAGCGATCAGTAACCACGATCCCGCATACCAGACTCGAATTGGGGATCTTCGGTCTCGCATGTGAACGATTAACCCCTAAACCACTGATTCGACATCTGACGGTGTTAATGTCTAAATTCAACCAATCGATTCATGATCTTAATCAATAACTCAACAATCTCCACAACCCCATACCGATAATCAACCATATATTATATTGTTGCCCCGTAGCCCTATTCTTATTCATTCAGTTGAATTTACATTTATCTTAATTGTAATTATCAACATAACAAATGATAACATGATATTTATCAAATGGGTTTTGTGGATATTATAGTAGTTTCAATGGTTAAGATCATGAGTCAGTTGAAGCTAGATCACCATGGAAAACCTGGAAGCACTGTACGGCCGTTTCTTCCTATCGTGGGACTCCTCAACAGTGCATACCCACGACCTCGCCCCCCTATGAATGTGTCGCTCAATTTCGTGGATTAGTTGAAGTTAGACATTTACGCTGTTGGATGCCGGCTCAGTGGTCTAGTGGTTAAGTGCTCGAGCACAAAACCAGTAGGTCTTGGGTTCGAAGCTCGTCGCGGATGTGTACTGGTGGGGAGCTCCACGATGCTATGAAACGGCCGTCCAGTGCTACCAGGTTTTCCATGGTGGTCTAGCTTCAACTAACTCATGATCTTAACCATTGAAACAGAATATTTCACAATCCAAAGTTTATAAATACTACACATTTCTGATTTCTAGCATTCTTGTACATAACTTACTAGTATGTGTTCGATTCTTTATATCAGTTCTATATACTGACTAATCAGTAAAACAAAGAAATGAGTAAGTTAAGCTTTAATAAATGTATAATTTAACATTTACTTATCTTTATTTACATTTTTCTTTCTAGGTTTGAAATTATTGAATGACATATGTATGCTTCGTTCTATGATAGTATTATTCTATCATATATGGATATTTATGAAATTGTTATACATAACTACTTCATATCATTTATCAGATATTGATAATGATCATATTGAATTAACACAATTAATAAGTAATGATAATCAAATACGTATTCGATGCGATGCTAAAAGTCGTAATACAGTTGAAAGTTTAATACTTTTAAGTTGTCCACTTAGTAAAACTGGTGTATGTCGAGAAAATTGTATCAATCCATGTCCAGTAAATGAAAGTAAGTAAACTGGTACTATGTTAATATAATATTTCTTTATATACTTGAGTAGTATGATACATATACATGGGTAAACGATTCTGTTGTTGACTATTTTAAATATGAATTAAATCTTAATATATTGTTATAGATTGAAAGTTGTCTATTTGAGATGGTTGAGATCATGAATCAATTGAAGTTAGACCACCATGGAAAACCTGGAATCAATGGGTAGCCGTTTCGTCCTGTTGTGGGACTCCTCAGCAGTGCGCATCGAAGATCCCCCGCGAGACTCGAACCCAGGACCTATCAGTTTCGTGTGAGAACGCTTAACCTACTGGATCACTGAGACAACCGGCATCCAACGTTGTTAATGTCTAACTTCAAATAATCCACGAAGTTGCGCGACCATCTTCCATTGTGCTGAGGTAGACACCTGTTTCTACCCGACACGGATTAATATGACTTATGATCTATAAAACACAGATAACAACAGTTAATGAATAATGAATATTTTCAATAAATTCTTTTCAGGTTCTACTGTTATAAATATAAATGAATAGTCGAAAAAAGTGGCTGGGTTTAAGATAAAATACATTGTTCAAAACTTTAGTACATGTATTTAGGATTTACGGATGACTCTCGAAAGATGCTTATGTGACCTTGAGAATCTCCATCTACTTACTAAGGTTAAAACAAGGTTATCGATTAATGTGAGGAATTAGAATTAGGATCTATGGTAGACGTTAGGGTTGGGGTCTTCACTACGAACTGACACTAACTATAATGATATTTAGCCAATATAGATGAGTGGATTTCGCGCCAAAATCCAAAACTATTCTAGATCTGATTGGTCCGTTCATGATTTATAGTCTTGCCTATCATCCCATTACAGATGATGCTAGTCTGTGATGAAAACTCTGACTATGATTTCTAACTCTAACTTCTAACTCCAAATCCTAATGCTTATTCCTCACATCAATTTTTAACTGTTCCTTGACCCTCGTAAGTGATTGAGGCTTCTCAAAGTTACGTTAGTATTACTTAAAGAACGTTCACAAATTATAGTCTCATCATACTGATCCGTTATACTAACGCATAACTCTAACTTAATTCTTATTACCCAACCCAAACTGTCATGAATTATAGCTGATGTCAAATGGTGACTGAAACCCCATGAGGTTTTAACCCCAACTCGCAACAGCAACTCAACTCACAATATGTAAGCTTGACCTCTCTCGTTAAAAAGCCATCTTAAGACTATTACTCCATTGTAATTCTACTGCTTTTTATTATTAATTGTGTATAACTAAGCAGTGTTTCCTGATTGTCTGATACATTGGTCAAGGTCGTCGTATAGCAATTTTACCACTATAACTTAATGACGTCTGAGAATCACGCAGTTGGTAGGTTTCTTCTTCAATCGGTCTAGTAAAAGGTACAACACCACATTTGATTTCATTCCTTCTTGATACATACCTATCACAATGATATAAACATATCTATCAAAATGTATTTTCTTTTTGAAGCAATAAAAGTTCATTGTGGATAGGAATTCTCTCGAAATTCCTAGGAGCAGGAACAAATTACATCTAAACTTATTTAATAATGCAATTCTCATCCAGTCTTACATTCATAGGGTTACTTCCTAGTTTCAGCTAAGATATAGAAGGATCCAATGCAAAAGCAGTTAAATATTCAGGACACCTAAACGTCGTTCGAGGTTTGAAATTTCACAAAAAGTCACTATCCTAAATTCACTTGGTATTGTTTGGCTTATTTCTTCCCATTGAGGTTTTAAGACTGCAATTGATCAGTCTGTTATTGACATATGTGCATACTGTGCGTATGCCTCCACATTGACTTAATTCACATGCTTTTTGTAAGCAATGATGGATAGTGGCTAGCAGTGGAATCCAGGACGCGCGTTTAGTCCTATTTGAGACTCGTCAGCTGGACGTATCTGCATCAGAGTTGATGTTCACTCTGGGACTCGAACCTAGTACTATTCACTTCAAACGCCATCGCTTTATCCACTCAGCTACTGAGTCCTGATAGCCACTTGCTTGTGCAATGGGGTGAATTTAAATTCACTTGGTATTGTTTGGCTTGTATTTTCCCATTGATGTTTAGGACAGCAATTGATCAGTCTGTTATTGGCATATATGCATGCTGTGCGTATGCATACTGGGTTCGAGTCGCAGAGTGGACATCAACCCTGAGATGCAGGTACATCCAGCTGACGAGTCCCAAACAGGACGAAACGCGCGTCCTGGATTCCACTGCTAGCCACTATCCAAGCACTATCTTAATTATCATTCATTCACTCAACACCGTCAGCATAGCATACCCTTTAGCATTATGATCCAAGTAAAGCTTAAAGCAAATGTGTATCATCCCAAATCGCCATATCACAAAACCATAACTAGATAGCGTTAGGAAGATGAATAGCAAAGGAGTCATAATAATAATAATAGTGTTAAGGATAATAAAAATTGTATTTCTGACGTTTAGTGACTTACATGAAGTCACTTCTATAGAGTAAATAAATAAATAACTGAAATAAAATCAATACAAGTTTACATAGTACAAATGAAGCAATCAAAAACACAATAGGTCTGAATATGTCAATGTCGTGTTATTTTCGGTCAAGGTGATTCTGCTGTGTTACATATAACCGTATAAATTTATGCGTCAGATAGTGGGTATGAAAAATATATAAAGTAGTGGAGTTGAAATTGGGTCTGCGTGTGTGTGTGTGTGTGTGTGTGCAGATTGTGTGTCAAATCAATAGGGTCAAATGTGGTTATTTGAAGAAAAAAAAACAGTCTCGGTTGAATAAATAGCCAGGTCTTGATTTTATTTCGGTTATTTAGTTATTTACTCTATAGAAGTGACTTAATATAAGTCACTCAACATAAGAAGTACAATTTTCTATTCGTTGAGATATTACAAAAATATAGTTACAGTTTACTTTCTACCGAGAATGCTCAATTTAGTTGAAGTTATAAAGTTGGACCTTAGGATTGATATATACAAACTCAGAAGGTAGTTTGAGGAAAAAAAAAGGAATTAAAATAAGTCAGTTAAAAAGGACAAGTAAGTTTAAGATTTATTGCGAATGAATGAATCTGCAAAACTGTCACTGATTCTTAGTCACTCTTTGCCTCCAATAGAACCTCCGTCTGGTAAATCACATTTACAAACACTTCTGAGTGTAACAGTTAATGATTTTATGGGTTGATTACATACCTTCGTTTGACTGTTCCTAACTTCCATAGAATCTACTCCTACCCCATCCGATATCACTTGTCAATGTAAGTGGTGGCTAGGCATATGTAACACACAGCCAGAAAACTTTATAGCAGCTCATGTTATTTTCAACAACCATTAAAACGATATCAAAAAGACTGAAATAATACAAAAATAGCTGATGCTTTCCATATAATTCTATTGCTCTCAATAGAAAAAAAATAGGCCTCAGTGTCCAGCCAACTTGGACTATCTATCCAAGCTACCATGTCTGATTCTATTCACATTTCACATTATTATCGTACATACAAATTAAACTCTAGACTTTCTCACCACTAATGTCACATTTTTTCACCCCCTTAACAAACATCCACTTACACAAATATATGGACATGTCTCATATGAATCACTTTGGCTGGGATGACATAACATTGACTTGGTCAAACCTATTTTGGATTAATCACACATAATATTCTTGGTTTATTCCTTTGTACCATTTAAACTTGGGTTATTTGTTCTCTGAAGAAGTGGCCTACACTGATTCATGAAATTTCAGAAAATGTAACTTTTCTGTTCATTATGATATTGCAAATATATTATTATTATTTGTTTTTTTGACTGAAATCATGAGTCAATTGAAGCTAGACCACCATGGAAAACCTGGAAGCACGAAATTGCGCGGCCGTCTTCCATTGTACTGAGGTAGACACCTGTTTCTACCCGACACGGATTAGCTCAACTGATTTCAATCAAAAACTTAACAATCTCCAGAACACCTAAACTGATTATTATTTATTTATTTGATAAAGATATGTTGCCTTAAAATCCGATGTAACATCTTAAGCACCTTTCTTCGAAAAAGGTGAAATTATCAGATTTATTTCTAAACTTGAATACCCTATAATAATCTGAAACTATGTCCAATCATTCATAATTCTTTAGCTTCTTAGTAGTTCCGCTGACCACCATAACTTTGGAAGGTCAAGTTTCTTGGGAATCCTAAGGGAGTGGTTGATTTGAAGTTTAATTAGTCATCCAGGTTAAATCTGACTTTATTAAATGTCTTAAAATCTGTGGAGATTTATATGTTTGTGCGGTTGGCAAAGCAAATATACATATACAAATAATTATATTTTCAGAATAGTGGTTTTGTGGAAACTGTAGTAATTTAATAGTTGAATTCATGAGTCAGTTAAAGCTAAACCACCATGAAGAACCTTGGAGCACTGAATGGCCCTTTCGTCATAGTATGAGACTCCTCAGCAGTGTTCATTCACGATTCCGCACGCTAGACGGAACAGCCATCCAGTGCTTTCAGTTTTACTATGGTGATCTAGCTTTAATCGACTCATGAATTCAACTATTAATCATATTTTATAAATTTTTAATTGGCATTTTCTGTGTTAAGCCGATCCTTTCTGAAATGACAATCATTCTGAATAGCTGATGCATTTACTACTTCTGATAGAAATGATTTTTCTTTGATCTTGTTAAAATGCATGAGACTTTTGCAGTATATTGTTGCTCAAAACAGACTGATCACATGATTCCCTTAATAGTTGACTAATACATGCATATCAGTTACTATGATGAAGCAAACTGTTTATTTATTTACCATTTCGACCACATAATATGTATTTATTGTCATGAAGTAATTGGTTTCAGATATTTCTTAAGACTTTTGTCAATATCGACTCACTTAGACTAGTGACCACGTTGTATATTGATCGATAGAACACGATCATCGCTAAAAATGGACTAGAGAAACAGTGGTCACTTCTCCGTAATCAGTCAATTATAAATACTTTAGTCTTACAAATCAGTCACGAACTGCAAAGCTCACTTACAATATCTAATATTGTGACTGGAATCTTGTTAGGACCCGAGAAACATAATGAATGGTAACTTTGGGATCCTTTTATGGACCAATACTAAACGTATATTTTTATCGTATAATTGTTAAGTAACTAAACTATTCATATTAATGTTCCTCTTATTATAAGCTTTATTTTGACCTATGAACTATTATTATACGTTTTACCATTCTTGAATTATGCCCTGTCTATTAGACATTGCCTCCACCATTCACAGCCACATTTGGCTAATTCTTGTACAAATGTTGTTTTCTATTTTATTGGTATGTTATGGTCTGTTTGATTGGTATATAAACAGAGTATGTTTGAAATATAATGATTAATATCGTAGAGGCTCGGATTAGTGTTCTGAACTTAACTGGCTGGGCTAGGCGGAAAGCAGGGCCAATCGGACTCTAGGCTGCTAGCACGTGTTTTACGCGTCATTGATCCGATCGATAAGTCACTGCTCTCTAATTAACGGTCACAAGATATAACAAATCTCACAAGAAGAATCAGTTCCCTCAAGGTTCAAGGTAAATCTTGGTAATGAATGACAGCTAGTGTGAAACATAAGCCAATGTTTTTCCTTGTTCTTTTTCAATCATTTAACATTTAACCTTTTTCAGGATAGCAGTGGCTAAAATAACTAAGTTGATTAGTCTCGTAAAGTGATTCTTCATGATGATGTGCACTCCAACACCAGATGCCTTATGATTACTGATACCCCTTTACTGAAATGTGTTGATTCGTACAAAATGTAAATTCAAAGTTTTTTGTTGATTACTTTCAACTCAACAGTTTTCATCTTCTCATATGTCTTTAATAATATTCAAAGTTTCAACATTTGTCTTTTCTTATTCTTATTATAATGATGGTAAATAGCATCAACAATTTGTAATGATGCAGTAACATTGGCTATTCCTAAATGCATTTATCGATCTATGTCAAATGATCATATACAAATTGAATATTTAATACATTTAAATGCTATTAATGAGAAAGGACAATGGTGGTGTACATTTCGTGGGAAACGATCTAATTCTATTGAATTAGATTCATATCATATTCAACAAAAATTAACCACTACAACTATGAAAACAGTGAACAAATATGATACAGTTATAGATATTACAACTCCAATAGGTAAGTTCTGTTGTTCAACATATATATTTATTTACTGAACATAATAGGGAATTCTATGAAGGAAATGATGATAAACAGATTAGGAGGCAATGGTTTGTATAAGTTCATATTGTCATTTGATCAAATTCGTGATTATTAAGTTCACTAATTACGAATTAGCTTTACAATTATCAGAATAATGACGTTTACTTTGACCAATAATACCGTCGAACAATAACAAGGAATATGAAATTTCAATAGTTGAGATCATGAGTTAATTGAAGCTAGATCACCATGGAAAGCACAGAAGCACTGGACGGCCGTTTCGTCCTAGTATGGGACTCCTCAGTAGTTCATATTCACAATTCCGCCCCCTGACCGTGAGATATGAACCCAGGACGTATCAGTCTCGCAAGCGAGCGCTTAACCATTAGAGCAGTGAGCCAGTATCCAACTGTGTTAATGTTTAATTTAACGTGATGGTGTTTGGAATGAACGGTACTGGTTTGAGTCCCGGAGTGAACATCAAATCAAGGAAGCAGATATATCCAGCTGACGAGTCTCAAATAGGACGAAATGCACGTCCTAGATCCCATTACTAGCCACCATCCATATTTGATAAAAGATATAGTTAATACACAATAGTTCAATACCTGAGAATCAATCCAATATTCCCAACAATATGGTATCTGATATCTATCTGCAAGGATTCTAGTAACCTTCTCAAACAGAGTCAAAACTTAACAGTCACGCACTGAACCACGCCGTGACCTTGAGTTTAGTCAAACACTACCTTAATGTCGATAGTTCGGCAACATGCAGCAGTAGAGTTAAGTAACCGAAGGTAAGTCTTTAACTAAAGACAAATAATAAAATCTTAGACGAGGAAGATTAAAGGATATAAAGGGCAATTAAAAGAGATATAAATAAAGGTTAAAATACAATACAAGGAGAAGAAACAAATAAATGACAATGCTGTTCAATAAAATGCTGTGGAGGGATTTACATTGTGTTCTTTCCATTACACTCTTTGACAAAATGGTTTATGAAGTTTCGAAAATTAGTAACAAAAAAAACAAATCATCTAAATTAACTTGAAAACTTCAAAAAGATTCATAAAGAAATAAGGAATTTAGTTTAATAATTAATCAGTAGAGGATTGTGGAGATTATTAAGTTTTTGATTGAGATCATGAACCGATTAATGTTAGACCACCATTGGCGACCTCGAAGCACTGGACAGCTGTTCCGTTCGATTGTGAGACTCCCCAGTAGTGCACATCCACGACCCCGCTCACAGGACTCGACCCCAGGGACTTCGGTGTCGGGGAGAGTCAGGTATCTATCTCAGTACAACAGAAGATGGTCGCTCCACCAGTCGAGGTTGATTGAGGTTAGACATTAACACCGTTGAATGCCTGTTGGCTCAGTGGCCTAGGGATTAAGCGTTCGAGCGCGAGACTGAAGACCCTGGGTTCGAATCTCGGGGGGCGGGATCGTGGATACACGCTACCGAGGAGTCCCGCAATACGACGAAACGAACATTCAATTTATTTCAGGTTTTCGATAGTGATCTAATATCAACCGGTTCGTGTTCTCAATCAATCTTTTATTTCATTATATTTTGTTTATTTTTGTTACTTTCAGATATTTCACCTAATCTGATACAACTAATTATTGGACTTGTTGGTGTTTCAATTGCTTTCAATATATTCTTTTTTGTACGATGTTTTACTGTGAAAAATTATTTGAGTAAGTTGATGTACATATTATTTATTGAACAATGATATACAGGATTATTATGTAAAAATATTAGTTTATAAGACTAAAAATACTCACGACAGACATGTTTTTCTGTTGTTTATCACTGGTGTGACTTGAACTTGAGTCGATTTCTACCCTGTACCAATTGTTGCGTCCTTGACTGAAAGATTAGAGAGCAGTATATTATCGATTGGACCAATGACGCGTATAACACGTAAAGACGACCTAGAGTTCTGATTAGTCCTGCTTCCCTGTCTAGCCCAGCCAGTTGAGTCCAGAACACAAGCAACAGCCTCTGAGATATGCATCATTGTATTTCAGACATACTCTATTTATATACAAACCAAACAGACGACATCGTACCATAAAAATAGAAAACAACATTTGTACAATATTTAACGAATGAATGGCCAATAGGAAATGTCCATTTAACGTCCAAGGACATCATTAGACTTAACATGATAATGATTGGCACACTATTCTGCATCCATAACAATCACCAACCAAATAAAATTGGGAGAAGTGTTCCACAATTTGGAAATAATTCAACTAGTTCGTTCCACAAATAGTGTAACCAGTTTTTGCTCAACTACAATCCACCCAACTCATTCACTGACATTTCCTGATTCAAATATTAATTTAACATTTTTCCCGTATTTTTGCAAACTGATGTTAGCGGGCCAAAGGGCATCACCAGGAAGCTCTGGTTGGCATAAGTTTTATACTGGTAGGTACTTGTCAGCAATATAGAATTGGAGGTAAGTTTGGATTTCGCTGGAGATGTTAGTTTATAAGACTAGAAATACTCACGACAGATTTGTTTTTCTGTTGTTTATCACCAACCAAATAAACTTGGGAGAAGTGTTCCACAATTTGGTTGTAATTCAATTAGTTCTTAGATCGAATTAAGTACTAGAGAATTAGGTGAGAATATAATTTATGAACGACATTTGAGAGATGCTAAAATGACCCTGAACATGCCCACCTACTTAATTATGCTAATAAGGGTTATAAACCAGTGTGAGGAATTAGGATTATGATTTACAGTTGATGGTTAGGGTTATGAACTAGATTTAGAGTTTTCATCACGAAATGACATGAGCTAAAATGCTAAAAAAAAAAACACTATTTAGCCAAATGAATGAATGAATTCCGCACCGAAACCCAAGACTTGTTACCTTAAATATGATTGGTTTTACCGAGAAATACAATATTGTTTATCACTCATCTATCAACTATTATCGATGAGATCGTTTTTGTTTTTACCTTTTTTTTTTCAAGAAAATCTTCATATCGGTCATTCAAGAAATAATTGTCTTGATCAACTACTCTGTATAGATCAACCAAGAAAATTATCACCAAAAACAAGACTAAATTATATTCAACATGTTAGTCCATCGGAAACGCCAAAACTCACAGTGAAATTATCTACCACAGTAACTACAACAATCTCAACTACAAATGAACAATGGACTGAACCAATTAACCTAATGACAATGATACATAATAATCATTCACCATTTGTTTATCATAAATCAAATTCTATTCCATCATCACCTATTACTAATTATCCTACTCTACATCAAATCCATTACAATATACACAACATATTCAGGTTTACCACAAAATTCATTTTATTCCAAGTATCCAATGCATAATTCATTCATTAATCCTAATCCTAATCCTAATAATAATGGTTCATCAATGGAATTTATTTACGATGAAGTTCATAATTCAATTTATACAACAACCAATAGTCAACCAAGTGATCATGAGAAAAGAAAAGAAACTACAGTAAATACTTTACTTGTTTAGTTTCCTAATTCCCTGATTACAATTGACTGTAATAATGATTGGACTATTTATTATAGAGTAATCAATTCACAGCTCAGTATGATTATAGGTCATCACTTTAGCGGTAAATAAGAAATTCAATACTGGTTAAGTTAGATGAATTAATTTCAGACAAGCATTAAAAATGAAAATTAGGAAAGCGAAAATGAACAAGGTAAATATGCCAAATCATTTTGATAAAGCATAACCAGATGAAAATAAGCTAAAAATAGATGATGGATGAATAGGTTAAGCAATGGATACAAGTATGTTCACATTAAAAAAACAGTCAAGGTTGCCTAGTGAATAACTGAGACGGTTAAAATATGACTCAAGAAGAATAAATAAATTGGTCTGTCTGGAGGCTAGAATAACCCATGTGGGTTTGACAGAGTACTAGTGATAAATCTTCTGACTGTACGCTTGAATCGGTTGACTAAGCTCTTCTAATTGCGCCAGGCTAACTCTACACCATAACTTTAACATGAGAGGAAAGACATGGAATATGGAAAGAACATTTTACTCCAAAGGTTAGTTTTTGTAAAGAAAAACGAGGGTATTTATAGTGTCTCAGATGTTCTTAGGTTTTTTGAACGTTCTGGAATCCTACAAAACATAGTAACAGGACAGGCAATCATCCAATCATAAATGTAACAGCCTACTTTTCACTTTCTAGATGTGTCTGAGATACTTCTATTCAATGCTGATTGGATGAAATGTTTCCAAGTGTTTTCAAAACCGCTTCATGTGTTTTTGTCTAGGAATATTCTAGGTCTCTCCAACAACTAGACACTACCATATGCTACGTTGTAACAAATTCTGCTTCAATCATATTTATCTGTTTCATGTGTATATTCCAATGAAATAATACCCTGATTGTTTTTCCAAAGAAAATAGATAATTAGTAAAATATACCAATGATTAGTGTAGTTGCGGTTATAAGTTTTTGAAGTAATTTTAATAGTGATATGTTGTCAGCACTTTTTTAAAACGCAAATTCAGTCAGTCATCATCAACGTAGAACATCGTACGTACGTACAGCAGTTCGAGTTACCATACCACATTAGCACAGAGATGCAGTTGTCATTTCAAATCCCGTAGTGGTAGAGGTAGTAAAAGTATAAACAGTAATCGGAAACATTACGGTTTGAAGATGTTATCCAAGGAGTATAATCCAGTGAAATAAACCTGGAAAGAGAAAAGGAGGAACATGAAGAATTCAAAAGATCAGAATTATGGAGAACACAAAAAGTGAATGCACCTGCACCATTGCAAACGATTTTGAGTCATGTCATTCAAGATCTATAACAATCGATTGCTATCATCTCTCTGATCCCAACCAGGTAGTCGACATCCACCAACATGGCTCAGTCCACTTTAATGTAATTGTTAATTAATTAATTAATTTTAATAATCAATTAGTAGAAATATATATTCTTGTAAAAAAAACTATTGGGAATCTTTGCTTGATTAGAGAATTAATCAGCCCATGATTTAATTGTGGTACTAATCAAGTGGTATTGTAGTGAACAAGAACACGAGTGGGGAAATACATTCTATATCTGACCACCGTTACATACTACTTATGTGGATATAACTAACCCACACCACAATATTGACTAAGTAATTTCGCTTAGAGATAACAATAAAACTATACCTATACAAAACATTTTCGTAGTTGAAAGTGAATAAATAGTTTCAATGTTTCACTTATTAAAGTCAACTTGAATACATAGTGCAAAGACCTTCCCAGTTTAGAGAATAAGCCGAAGATACCTTGGTCAAGCTAAGTAGATAATAATCAATATAGGGTGGTAGAGATTGGTAAGTTTTTGATTGAGATCATAAACCGATTGATGTTAGACCATCAGTGAAAACCTGGAAGTACTGGACGACTCTTTCGTCCTATTTTGGGACTCTTTACCAGTAAGCATCCACGATCCCGCTCGCGGGATTCCAACCCAAAACATATCGGTCTCGCGAGCGAACGCCTAACCTCTAGACCACTGAGCCGGAATCCAACAGTGTTAATGTCTAACCTCAACCAACTTCGACCAGTGGAGCTAAACTGTGTCAGATATATACCTCAGTACAATGGTGGATGTGTCGCTCAATTTCGTGTATCGCTTGAAGTTAGACATTAACACCTTTGGGTGACGGTCGGCTAGGTGGTCTATTGGTTAAGAGCTCGTAAACGAGACTGTTAAGTCCTGGGTGCAAATCTCACGATGTGGGATCGTCGGTGCGCACTATCACAGAGTCCTACAATAGAACGAGACGACCATCCAGTGCTTCCAAGTTTTCCATGGTGATCTAGCTTCAAATGACTCATGATCTAAACTATTGAAATTTTATTTTCTCTTCAAACAATATACTTTTATTTTTTTATTTTATGTATAAGAAGTTTCAGAAATTTCCTAATAATACAGTTCGAACTGTATATGATATTGGTGATTGGCTTGTAGATAAATCTGGTCAAATTTATATTCCATATGCACAAATTACACCAAAACCTCAAAGAATTATATTAAATAATTTTGATTATTCAACATTAAGAAAAAATGATTTTTTTAAAAATTCTCCCTTATTAAATACAATTATAAATAATCAACAACAACAACAACAGCAACAACATCAACAAGAACGGCAACAACAACATCAACAGGAACAACAACAGCAACACAAACAAGAACAGCAACAGAACCACCAACAAGAACAGAAACAGCAACAACAACAACCATATTCATCAACAATTCCAATACAAACCGGAGATCCAGATTCGATCAATAATAATAATAATAATAATCCGATGATCAGTTCTACTCTTAGTTTACCATTGGTTCCAGTTAATATCACAAAAGATGTATCATTCACTAATGAACAATTATTTATTCAAAATATTCCAATTGAAGTCAATGAATTAGATAATGTTATTGAACAAAATGTAAATTAAATGAATTGCTTATGATAGTTTTATTGAAGAATTTCTATTTTTAACAATGTGTTATTGTCATCAATAATAGTTGTATATATTTGTTATATCCTATTGAGTAGAAAAATTATATGTCTGATGATGTTTCGTCACTTAATATATGTCACTTCTTCGGAGTAAATAAATAACTAACCGAAATTAAACTAATATACGTTTAAATAGTACAAAGGAAAGCAATACAGATCAAAATTTATGGATGACCTTTGAGTGCTGCCAATTGATCTTAGGAGTGTCTACCTACTTATTAGGGCAAAACGAAGGTTATAAAATAATTTGAAGAATAAGGATTATGATTCACAGTTGATAGTTAGAGTTTACGGTTTTTTTTATCACTAACTGACATGAGCTAAAATGACAAAACGTTATTCGTGGATTGGTTGAAGTTAGACATTAACACCACAGGATGCCGGCTAGCTGGTCAAGTTGGCTTAGCACCTGGTGCAGGACTGATGGGTTCTGGGTTCGAACCTTGCGGGGTTGTGGGCGCGCACTGTTGAGGAGTCCCTCACTAGGACGAAACGGCCAGCTATACAGTGTTCCCAGGTTTTCTATGGTGGTCTAGACTCAATTGACTCATGATTTCAATCAGTGAAATTTCTAAAATCTCCACAAAATCCCTTCTGATAAAATGTTATTTAACCAAATAGATGAATGTGTTTTGCACCAAAATCTATGACTTAATATTCTTAAATCTGATTGATTCGTCTATAAATTATAATTTCAATATGGTTTACATTAAGTTATAAAATGTCAGAACATCATAAAAAGAATGTTTCCTCTAAACTTTCTATCCAATGTTCAATTTATTTGAAACTGTCAAGTTCAACCATAGCATTAATACATAAACAAACATGTTACTGTGTTTATTAGGAGATATTTGTCAGTAACTATGCAGTTTATTTTATTTATATGAATTTTGAAATATTTTTTTAAGAAATGAGATTATGAACATCAATGAAGATGACTTAGCATACATGATTATTCTTTCTAGATGTAGAGATCATCTGAATCGTAATAAATACTTTTAATCCAGGGATCTATCTTCCATAAATTTACCAAATCAATTGCATAAAATTACATTAAATCAATAACATTTACCTTCAAAATGAAGGCAGTCTGTAATTTAATACATTTCTTGATTATCTTATATAGATGCTTTTCATATAATTAAGTAATTTCAATGGTTAAGATCATGAGTCAGTTAAAGCTAGATCACCATGGAAAACCTGGAAGCACTGGACGGCCGTTTCGTCCTATTATGGGACTCATCTGCAGTGCGCTTCAAGAGGTATATCCTGGAGTTCTAATGAGAAGTAGTGACCAGTGGAGTTCAACCGTGTCTGCTGTGAGATAGTAACTCACTGAAGACAATGGTGAGTGTGTCGCTCAATTTCGCGGATTAGTTGAAATTAGACATTAACACCATTCGATGCCGGCTGAGTGGTCTAGTGTTTAAGTGCTCGGACGCGAAACCAGCAGGTCCTGGGTTCGGATCTCTCAGAGGGCGAGGTCGTGGACGCACACTGCTGAGGAGTCCCACAGTAGGACGAAACGGCCGTTCAGTGCTCCCAGGTTTTCCATGATGATCTAACTTCAACTGACTCATGATCTTAACCATTAAAATTACCATGATATCCACTAGACCCATCTGATATAACTAAGTGTTTAACTTTAGTAAAAAGTTATTTTGTTAAATAATGTATAAAACATCAAGGGTCTATGATTGAGTTCATATTAGGAACTAAGATATTAACATTAAAACTATTGAATATTAACTGTTATTGTGTATACTTTTTTGTTGTTGAATAAATTACAAATAAAACAATTTTATCATTTATAAGCAAATATGGATAATGACTAACAGTGCAATATAGGATGCGCGTTTCGTCTTATCTTGAACTCATCAACTGAATAGACGTACATCCCAGACTCTGGGACTCGAACCTAGTACCGTTCGTTTCAAACGCCATCACATTATCTACTTATCTACTGAATCCTGATAACCACAAGCTTTTGCAATGAGATGAAGTTTAGATTCATTTAGTGCTGTTTACTTTTATCTTCCAATTAATGTTTAGGACTGCACTTGATCAGTCTCTTATTGGTATATATACATCCTGTGTACACCAGTGTAGCAGTAGCCTCAACAGCAGTAGGTCTCAATATACACAAAGGGAAAAGCAGGATTCACCAACATAACACAACATGCAACAATAAAATCACAACTGACGGAGAAGATTTGGAAGATGCAAAAGCCTTTACATATCTGACCAGCATCATTGGTGAAGACGGTGGATCTGATGCAGATGTGAAGGCGCGGATCGGTAAAGCAAGAGCAACATATTTATAACTGAAGAACATCTGGAACTCAAAACAACTGTCTGTCAAATAACACCAAGGTCAGGATTTTCAATACAAATGTCAAGACAGTTCTACTGTCTAGTGGGACGGAAACTTGGAGAACTACGAAAGCCATCATCCAGAAGATACAAGTGTTTATTAACAGTTGTCTACACAAAATACTCCGGATCCGTTTATCAGACAGTATCAGTAACAACCTACTGTGGGAGAGAACAAACCAGATCCAAGTGAAGGAAGAAGCGTTGGAAGTGGATAGGATACACATTGAGGAAATCAGAGAACTGCGTTGCAAGTCAATCCCTCACTTGGAATCCTCATGGCCAAAGGAGGAGAAGAGGAATACCAAAGAACACATTACGTCGAGAAATGAAGACAGACATGAGAAAAATAAACAAAAATTGGACAGATCTGGAAAGGAAGGCCGAGTATAGAGTGTTTTGGAGAATGGTAGTTGGTGGCCTATACTCCATTAGGAATAACCGGCGTAAGTAAGTAATTCAATATGAATACTGTCAAATGTAACATTTCAAAATGTCACTTTATTTTCATGTCTATTTTTTTTTGTTTTACTCCTTCTAATTATTTCTAGGCTAATTTATCAATCAATAAAAACAATAAACAATCAATCAACCAAAGTGATTTATTCAAGCAACAAATATCAGATCCATTAAATACTCATCAAAATATTGATCGAAAATTCATGACTAATAATATCAATACAACAATTGAATGGAAACCTTCAATTAAGTTACTTTCACATAAAACTACTAAACAATTGAATGGAAATTCTACACATAAATTAAATGAAAGTCATAAGATTGCTGATTTAGAGGATTGGTCTATGATAGATCAAGATTAATTAATTTTTGAGAAAAATAATGATAAATATTACTGAAATGTTTCTTCTTTTTTATTTAGTTGACATTATATTACTTTATTATAAATAGTAGTCAATTCTATAAATTACAAAACGTTTAGAAGTAATAAATTAAATTGTTCTTTTTTTGTTAATTAAAATAACCCATAGTGTCATTGAATAAGAAAAAGTGAATTCAGCGAAGAAAATCTTTCTCTTTTCGACGAAATCATTTACTTAAGCTGTACATTCGTATATATAGTTATATGGAAAATGTATGTCTATAGAAGGATAGAAAGGATTGTATCACAAATAATGGATTCGACAATAAATAACAAATGAGGTTAACGTACTAATCAAGCGGTAAGGAAGAAGAAAATAAAACAATCAGCCAGCTGATTTTTTCATGTCGAACCTATAAAATTCGGTACGTTGACCAATAATTGAAAGATTTCATTTATATAAAAGATAATATGGATGACACTTTCATTATTTGCGAAGAAGATAGTGACCTCAATGATATTTTGAATATTTTCAATAACTGCCACCCATCAATCCAATTCACCTTAGAAATAGAGACAAACAACGAATTTCATTTTCTTGATATCCATTTAAAAAGAATGCCTGACGGTTTATCACAGAGATCGATATACAGAAAACCCACTTGGAATGGACAATATACGAACTTCCACAGTTGGATTCCATTAATTAGAAAAAGGAACCTAATTCATTCTTCATCCTCAAGGATCAGGCGAATTTTTTCCAATGACACAATAGATGGGGAACTATTTTATCTTCGACAGACCCTCATCAAAAATGGTTATCCACCGAGATTCATCGATAGAAACTTGGTACCTAGACCTCATGACAAAGCGTTGACAGTAAAAAAAATTTTGAATATGGAATTTAACGGAGATACGGCTACTGAAATCCTAAATAAACGGATTTCGAAATCATTGAATAAAACATTCCACGCAGCTAAGCTTCGAATCAACTTCTCTAGCCGACCTACCATTCTGGGGTGTGTAAAGGACAAACTTTCGCTTTGGGCCACTTCAATGTGTATCTATAAATTTACTTGCTCATGTGGGGCATGTTACATAGGCCGCACAAAGCGATCATTATCCAAACGCATCTCGGAACATTATCTGGCTTGGCTCTTGAAAGAGGAGCGAAAAACAATCACGAGTTCTATACAGGAGCACTTAATCAACTGTGGACATATCGCTCCAAAAGACTCTTCGTTTAAAATAGTTTACAGAGTCAAAGGAACTGGATCGAAGGGGGTTCGAATCAATATTTTATGCACCGCAGAGGCATTGGCAATCCACAAACTAAAGCCTGAACTTTACGTGCAGAAACGATTTGTCCAACCTCTCATCCTTCCCTGGTGTGTTTCTAGGTGTTTTTTTTTAATGCACTTTTATTATTACATTTTTGCACTTTAAACCCTAATCATTTATTATTATTACCTTTTACAAGTTTTCTCGATTATTATTCAGTCTATTATTATGACCTTTGTTGTTTTGTCGTTTTTCTTCATATCTGTCAATCTGTCAATTGGACCCTTAAATTTTGTTCTTCCTTACCCCTTGATTAGTACGTTAACCTCATTTGTTATTTATTGTCGAATCCATTTTTTGTGATACAATCCTTTTATCACTGAGAATGGATTCCAGTTCATTTTTGTAATCTGACTTATTCATAATATCAACACCAGATCCTTTATCGGGTTTAAGTATAATAATATCGGCATTATTTTGCAATTCTTTTAATGATTTGAAGTGCTGAGAAGTTAATATGCTTCTCTGTTTTGGTCCGAAAAACTTTCCACTGCCTTTTCCTGTTAAAACTCGAAAAGATTTATTATTATTATTATTATTATTATTATTATTATTATTATTATTATTATGTACAGATAATGTAAAATTCACATTTGAAGGTGAACACTTCAGACAAATAGATGGTGTAGCTATGGGCAGCCCTCTAGGACCATTGCTGGTTGATGTGTTCATGGGATATGTGGAAAATTTAGTTGGAGACTCAATTCGAAAGATGGGTCTGTATAAACGATATGTGGATGACATAATAATCATAGGTGATAAAATTGAAGACATAAGCCGCTTGTTAGAAGAATTCAATAGTAGTCAAAAGCACATTTCTCTTACATGTGAAGAAGAGAAGAACAACCAACTACCTTTTCTTGACATCCTGATTACTAGGAGAGATGATGGTTCCACCAAACGTGCTATATATAGAAAACCAACATGGACAGGACAATATCATAATTTTCATAGTCACTGCCCTATTTATTATAAACGCGGTTTAATAAAGAGCTTATTCAATAGAATCAATCGTATTTGTACTAGTGATACTACTGAAGTAGAGATGAAGCTCTTGACTGATGCGTTAATCAATAATGGTTACTCTTTGAAGTTCATAAACCGCTGAAGGGGTTGCAATATGACTAGACCTATGACGCTTCTGGCACCCAAAAAGCGGGTTTATATTACGTTACCATTCAGAGGTGACACAAATAGTCTCATGTTGAAACAGAGACTGAAATTAGCTATCAATCTTCCCATTTTACCAAAGACTGATGCTATATATACAAAATAATTATCTTCAATCACTTCTCTTTCCGTCGCCAACCCTAGGGTTAATGAAATCAATATTAATCTTAGCTATTGAGTGGCTTATTTCGATTAACGTACTTACAACATTTCTTAGTGTTGGGGTGACCCAGAAAATTTCTCTCAAAGGTCAATCAAGGATCAGGAAAACACTAAGAAGCGTTCCTCCAATCAGCATTCACTTGAAGTTTTAACCAGAAATATCAAGGGGGGGCGAAACGTCACATGGCTGATTGCTACACTGCTACTATGCTTAGTAACATTCCAGAATCTTCTAACAACCCAAGGACTTTTAAAATATTATAAAAACCCTGTATTTTCTGTATTGAAGTAAACCTTGGAGTAAAGTACTTCTCTCTCGTTGTTCAGGTCGCTGTACACTTCTAGCTTGGGGGTTTCAAAATAGCTTAGGGAACGAATATAGCGTTCAATTCGCAAGACTTATCACTTAGCTTAACGTAATTGTCTTTGTTGTCTTTAATCATACGGTTGTGTATTATTATTATTGTTTCATACATCCTGATCCCATGGTACATTTAAATAAAGCGAGAAGAAGAATATTAGCAGAATAATAGCAATGGATTACATTTCAAGGCTTCTCATCTGCTGTAAATGACCTAAATTTACAATACAAATATTATCAGAACGAGTTTTATGAGATTTTAGTAAATTTCACAGGTTGGAATCATGAGTCAGTTGAAGCTAGACTACCATTGAAAACCTGGAGGCACTGGACGGCCGTTTCGTCCTAGTATGGGACTCCTCAGCAGTGCGCATCCACGAACCCGTCCCCCGAGGGATTCGCACCCAGGACATACTGGCTTCTCGCGCGAGAACGTAACCAGTAGACCACTGAGCCGGCATCTAACGGTGTTAATGTCTAACTTCAACCAATCCACGAAATTGCGCCATCGAACACCAATGTCTTCAGTGAGCTGATATCTCACAACAGACCTGGTTGAACTCCACTGGTGACGGCTTCTCACTAGAACTCCAGGAGGTTCTCCTGAAGAAGCCGTCACCAGTGGAGTTCAACCAGGTCTGTTGTGAGATATCAGCTCACTGAAGACATTGGTGTTCGATGGCGCAATTTCGTGGATTGGTTGAAGTTAGACATTAACACCGTTAGATGCCGGCTCAGTGGTCTACTGGTTACGTTCTCGCGCGAGAAGCCAGTATGTCCTGGGTGCGAATCCCTCGGGGGACGGGTTCGTGGATGCGCACTGCTGAGGAGTCCCATACTAGGACGAAACGGCCGTCCAGTGCCTCCAGGTTTTCAATGGTAGTCTAGCTTCAACTGACTCATGATTTCAACCTGTGAAATACAAATATTACTATTCAAAAGTGTTATTACATAACATAATTAATGGAGTTTAGTTCGAAACGATTTAAGAAACAAGAGGAAGTAACATATTAAATATTAATAGTTAAAATTGATTAGTATTTATATGAAATGAAAAAGGGAGAAGGGGTTAAATCCGTAAGTAAGGAACAATGGAATGACCGAGAAAACCATACCCAGAAAAGAAACATGAATAGGGCGATATTTAAGTTATAATAGTTACTGTCCTGTTAGTTATAAACGTTGTTTAGTAAAAATCCTACTTAATAGGGTTAGAAAGTTGTGTTCAACCTACAAAATACAAGAAGAAATGGCATACACTAAAGAGTGCTTTACAAAGAATGGATATTCAAAGAAGTTTATCATGGAATACGAAAAACGACTACAGAAAGTCCTAAATAAACAGTAGTTGACAGAAAACTTGTCTTTGTCCGTCTTGCATTTAAAGGTGAAGAGGTTTCAAGAAAGATCGACAATAGGATTAAAGTAACGCTAGACAATAGCTTCGCTAAAGCTCAACTATTTTCAGTTTATGATGAAAGATGTTTCTTAAATCAGTCAAATATGGATCAATACCTTTATGAGGTCACCTCCAAAGTATTTACGAAGTTACATGTACTTATGGAAGCAAGTATATAGGAAGGACTGAAAAATAGGCATCTACAAAGTTTCCGAACTATATTCCCTCGTAAGTTGTGCCTAAGAGGAAGTAAAGTATGATTACTAAACTTTTGATGGATAGTGGACAAAACGTTGATATCTCAAAAGCATTCATTTTTCAGAAGCCATTTCCACTTATCATTGCCATGGCGAGATAGTTATATTTTTTTTTAACTCAACCTAAAAAATCCCATTGACATTCACTCAAAACGTTAACTTTAATTTCATGTTAAAGAGGTGACTTGATTATCATTCATTTATCAACATATTGTTTTCAGTCATTTTCTGTTCATTATCACTTACATCTTTAACCTCTTCTCCATTTTCCGTGATTTCGTGTTCAATACTAATCAATCGTAACTTCTATA